CTAAAACCAGTAGAACAGAAGTGACAAGTAGTGGCGGGCGGATCGAGCCAGATATTGATAATATTGATACCAACATGGATATTGATATTGATCAATACCAGTGTGATGAGATCAATACTTTAGCTTCAGGTTCTCTGGTGTATGCAGTGCTGCGGTTTCATCAAAGACGAGCCGACTGTGTGTGTAAGTGTCGCTCCTGTCACTTTGCAAAGGCAGGCAGGACCCACAGAGAGGCTGCTGGGAATATTTCTTTGAACCCAAGGCTTTGGAGTTGTTTTGTTATTTACACTTTATTTATTGTATTTTCACTAATTATTATTAATTTGTAATTGTTTTTTCAAACCCAGAAAAGAAATTCACCAAAGAGGAGAAAATTTGTTTTATTCCTTTATATCCTAAATATATTTTACAGTTTTATAACATTTGTTGCAGTGTGATAACTTTGTACAGTTTGTTTATTTAAGAAGAAAAAATCCAGAAAAGGAGTTCAATGAAGGGATAATTTTTATTTAATTATCATCGTTTCTGTACACAATGTTTTAATTTATTCTTCAGTGATCATTTTGTGCACTTTGTTTAAGGAAAAATCAACCATCACAAAGTATGAGGAAACTTTTGTTACTGTTCTATTTGTTCAGAAAAAAAACTTTTATTATAATAAAGTATTTTTAATCCTATCCTGGGTTTTGACTAATAAATGATAAGAAGGAAAAAATAACAAAACACTTAAACGTCATCAAAATTCAGCGCAATTATTTAAAAGTATCATATCGGTGATACTGGACCTGTATTTATTTGGTATCGATCTATACCAAATTTTGCCGCATCACACCACTTGTTTAGCTGAAACTAGCTAACAGCTGAAAGATCAAATTAATTAGTAGCTAAAAGGTAAAAGCACCACGGGGAGTGTGTCGGTTGGGTAGGCAGGACGCTCAGTCCTGTTGACAGGGCCCTGCGTGTATAATGGTAGGAGAAACACGACACATAATATTATTTAAACCCTTACACCATGTCCATTTTACATGACATAGTTCATGTAATGTGGGGGCTACAGAATAGAGCCTGACCCATATGGTAAATTTAGCTATTGCTGATTCCAATATTGGGAGGGGAAGGCTAAAGCCGATTACCGATACTGGCAGAAAAACTTTTGAGCTTTGTCCACCTCGTAACAAAACAGCTACTTTTAAACCTGTTTTAACACTTGAAGTCTTGAAACAGTCTTCCTAACTTGTATTCACATTTTCTGTCCTCCACTATTCACCATAAAGTTATCAAGTGTGTTGCAAAACTACAAATGAAAGAAACGCCCTTCCCTGTTCATTGTTTAAACCGTCTGTCACATATGGTGAAGGTCTTGAGTAGTACAGACCACAGCAGCGCTTTTTGTTTTTTTGACTGAACCCTGTGGTACACCGTTGTTAACAGATAGCTGGAAGAAGTAGCGTTATGTTGAACGCATTGCCTCCAGTCTGAGAGATGATTGGAGAACCAACCACTAGTGTTCTCTGAGAAACCACTTTCAGAGAGTTTATGACGTCAAAAGCTTTAGGCAGGCAGCACAGTAGTCCTTAGCATCCAGTGCTTCAACTAGCAGTCATTGTGCTCTGTTGTTCCCTGAAACCAGATTGATGGGGAGATAAGATGTTGAAATAATCCAAATACTTCTTGATTGAGGGTTTATCAATTTTTCTAAAACCTTAGCAAGAATACAGTTGAGAGATTATCTGATAATTTAGTGGGGTCTCCTCCCATCAGTAAATGTAGAACAAAAGCTGTTTTCAAGTATTTGGAATATAACCACTGTATTTTCTGCCGTACACGTCGCTCCGCCCTGTAAGTCGCATCAGTCCAAATATGTCTAATAAAGTGGAACAATCCATAAATGTGTCGCTTTGCCGTATACGTCGCATCTATTATGCGTCAACGATGACGCGTCGCGTTTGTTGACAACCCGGAAATGTGGGCCGCTGTGCCAAAAATCAATGGGCTGCCAAATGGCGGCCTCGGGAGTGTTCACGGACTTTTAACAAGAATTTAACAGGATTAACATTTAAAGACAATTATTTGTTTGCTCGAAATTATAGTAAAGGTGTGTCTCAGTTGAACTTTTACTTAATAAATGCACTTTGACGGTCAAATCAGCTGCATTTCGCCGGGGCGACGCAGCGAAATTAAGCTGATTCGGTTGCTCCAGGCAGATGACGGTAGCAGGTTATGGCAAGCTGAATGTGTCATTAATAGCCACTTTTACTTATTACATAACACAATGGCATGCCTTACTACTCTGCTTCCATCTAGTGGCTGAAAATGGTAGTGTTCAATATTTTCAGTCAGAATGAATGAAAACGGTCATATCTCAGCCAAAAATTGGTTTATAAATATGGAAAGAAATCCATAAATATGTCGCTTTGGCATATAAGTCACAGGGCATGTAAATTAAGCAAAAAAACTGTGACTTATACAGCAAAAAATATGGTATATAGCGATAACTCTTGCACAGCTGCTTTTTGTTTCAAAGTATTTTTAATGTTATGTTTTTGCTTGAATATTAATATTACCCATAAAAGAATGTTCAAAAGACACTTTTAAAGGTTTATAACATATTTGTGACTTTTTAGGTGATTAACCTTCCTGACAGATGTTGCATGTACGCGGCTCGCCCCTCTAGTGCCCCTTTGTGAGTGTGATGGCAAACACTGAGGAGGTGGCAGTGTCTATAGGGGACTTGGTAGTGGTGAAGTCTGATGATGTATCCAATGACCCAAACAAGACTCAGGTCATCCTCCAGCTCCAGCCAATCACCACTGGGTATGTACCAAGTCCAGGACCCTTCATGTTTAAAGTGAACATGAAACTCACACATGATTAAGAGAATTAGAAAGCTCCTGGAGAAACTTGTGACAGGGACTGTCACGCTGCTGCCAATTTAACATTTTGATTTGACAGGACTGTGTTGGGGTTCGCTCTCATCTACCACTATCCCAATTATCAGCTCAATATGGCAAAAAAAAAAAAAAAAAAATAATTAAAAAAGTCATTTTTTCTTTTAAGCTATGGTGGCCATCTTGGATTTATTTATTTGGATTCAGTATGTGATGGGAAACATTCTCATCTATCATCACACAAAAGTTTATCTCAATATCTTTAAAATTAGCTGATTCATAGTACTTTTCCTTTTTAGGTCAGGCGGCCATCTTATATTTTGGATTTGCATTAGAAATGTATGAAAACTCACTCTCAGCTATGATCAGAATTTTAGCTCAATATATCAAATGATTGAGTTATAACAGAAGCTGTTGAGATCCGTCAGGCATTTTGAATGAGGAAAAATGGCGTCTTTGTTGCAAATTACGTCGCCATGGTAACTCAAAATACCAATGTAAGTAATGGCACGTCACGGTGCTGAGTCAGTCGTTTTGATATAACATTTGTGGGGGTACACATTGCGGTTCGGACCGAATTAAAGTTGGCAGAAGAGTAAGATATAAAGTTAAGAAACCCTTGTTAGGTGGATAATAATAGGTGCTGCCTTACTGGGCAGTCTCCAAATACAGACCTCTGCAGAGCTCATGAGCTAAACTGAAATTCAGCTTGTAAGAATGTAACCGGCGCACACAGATTTCTAATCCATTCCCTTAACTTCAACAGATTAGCTTACTGTACATATGGCGTGGCAACAGCTCTTGTGTCCAAGTGTTCTGCCATGTTTCGTTTTCAGTTTGGATGAAGAAACAAAGCCAGTGCAACACCAGAGTGTGGACGGTCTACAAATTGTAGAGTCAGACTGTATCAACACAATCATTAGACAAAACGTCACGGTTTGATAAACGGAGGGAACATATTATAAATCTGTGGGTATGCTTTTTTTAAAATCATAAATGTTATTTCTGCCATGACTCTCGGGGGTGAGGGTGGGGTGCTCTGTAGATAACTGCGTTTTATTCTAAAGAGCAGTGAAAACTGCATTTTCTTTCCAGAGATGAGTCTTCTGAAACAGATGCAGCCATCATGGCGGTCGAAGATCATCTAGGTAAGAGGCTGTTGAAAACTTGTTGGATGAAGTGATGCCCACGCTTTGCGTGTAACATCTCAGTAAATGTGTTTGTTTCTCATAGAACAAACTGAGGGGGAGGATGTTGAAATCGGCTGTCCCATAACTTGCGGCGACTGTAAAGCTGTGTTGCTTGTGAAGAAGTTTGTGTGCCCAGGAATCAACGTGAAATGTGTAAAGGTGGGTGTTCTTCACCTTTCTGTAAGCTTGGGTTGACACTGAAGGGCGTTGTGATTACATTGCAGAAATATAGACAATTCTAAAGGATTCACAAACTTTCAAGCACCGCAGTGTGGTGAAATAAGTGAAAATGTTCCACCAGTATTATTTACGGTTAGTAAAAGCAGCAGCAGCTCCTGAGCAAAAATATTAGTGGGGCGGACATTCATTTCCTGAATCGCTAACCACACAAACGTTACAAATAGCATGACATTTTCTGTAAACAAATAGGACATGTACTTAATGTTCAAAAATTGTGCACAAACCTGTCGCCTTTTTTTCCTCCCACGTGTCGAGGTTGTGTTTCGTGAAAAACAGTCACGTCTAATACATCAGGGAACAGATGCCTCCCACCCTCACATCTACCCCCACCTAAAAGGGGAGTATTTTTCATTTGATCTCTAAATTGAAACAGACGGGTACACTGCTTTCTGGACTGGATTTCTAATTTGATTTGAATTAAAAATTCTGACATAATACTCCAGTTGAAATAGGAGAAAAACGTTTTGTATAATATAGAGGTTACACTTTCACTGGGTTACACTGGGACAGTTTTGCTACCATAATCAAATTATTTATGTTCACTGGTTAACTGGTCATCATTAACTTCACACGGACTCTCTCACTGGTACATTTTCATCTTTAAATCACTTCTTGGTCTGCTGCCTTCATACATCTCCTCCTACATGTCTCTGTGTGAGTGCAGCTACAGCGTGCGCTCTCAGAACATTATTACCTGCAGTGTTCCCTCAGTGAGGACTGAACTAGGTAAAATGACCTCCTCCTTCACTCTTGTTTCCTGGAATATCTTACAAAAAGACCTGAAGCTCTCAACCTTGACCTCTCTAAGTAGCTTCAAACATCTGTTAAGTTCCTGGCAAGAACCGAACATGTTCCTGTTTTGAGTTTTCTACACTGCCTTACAACCTAGCTGTTTTTTGCTACTTTTACTTTGAATTATGCTCTTAATTACCACTTTATTGTCACTAGTTAAAAAACAAAATTGTATGCGTCCTTTATGATTGTCCATTGTTGTCATCATTCTTTGTTAAAATCAGGTCTCTCTTGTAAACGAGTCCCCGAGGCTCAGTGGGATTAACCTGAATAAATAAAGGTTGAATGAATGAAATTGTCTTACCATATTTTATGCTAGTTTTAAACTAAGATCATTTTATGTTAGAGATTATTTAATTGTAGCTATTTAGGTTAAACCTTGAAAATAATGTTATACACAATGTGACTGTATGTTGTTAATAACTCTCGGCTAGTACTACATTAGGTTTTAGCTCAATATATGTAAGGTTTGGTGTAATATAGTCATTTTGTGTGTTTTCCAAGGACAGTTGGTTGTGGAGGCCATCTTGAAATGGATTGTGTCCAAAAGTTAATCGTTGTGTAAATGGTAAATGGACTGTACTTGTACAGCGCCTTTCTATCTTATTTCAAGACACTGAAAGAGCTTTCCACTACAATCTGTGTCCTCATTTACCCGTTCATACAGCACTCTACTAGATCTATACAAAGCTAATTGAACAAATCATTCTAAAGAGACTAATCAGAGCTTTAGATCACATTCATACACCGATGGGACACACGTCAGAGGCGATGAGAGGTTCAGTGTCTTGTAGGAATGCGCGATATAAACGGTATACGGTAGAAACGATAGAAATTTAGCCTACGATAGCGATCTGACTTCTACCGGCTAACCACAACGATGCTGTGTCTGAAGTAAAATCAGAGCTGTCAGATTTAATCGATACTTTTTTTGAGTTGGAAACTGTGCACAAGTGGTGTTAATCTTCGAGAGCAAAGTAGCGAAGCTACAAGCTAATTGTACTACTGTATTATTTGTAAATAGTTTGCCATTCTCAATGTTCCAACACATATTGAACATTATTATTGATATTGTTTATCTTATTTTTTATACATTGTATTGTTTATTAACATTTAGGAACTTTTGTGTGAAATCTTTTTATCTATTGCTGCTGTTACACTTGAATTTCCCATCCGTGGGACAATAAAGGCTGGTTCTATTCTATTCTATTCTATTCTATTCTATTCTATTCTATTCTATT